GTTTATCTTTGGTATGCCCATCAGGCTGAGTTACACCTTTAGTTTTAGCTGCAAAAAGGATGAAATAAGCCAAACGCTGAACCCTAGACAACCCATGTTTGGAGAGAAGTGCCACTGCGATCCCCTCCGCGCCGCGCCGGTGCGCCTGAACAGGCGGGACGGGAAACTGAAGGGAACTGCGGCGGGAGTAACTCTGAATCTTTGGTATTGTAGCTGATGAGGTTTTTGTTGTTCTTTCCATTTTGGTTGAAAAAACTGCATAGGCACACATTAAAGACAATCTTGTTTTGTTTTGAGAGATGCATCATTCTCCGTTGCCGTGGGAACAGCTCCGTCGCATTTGAAAACCCTTCCGATCCCATTCTGCTTCCAAAGTCTCCACCGATCCGAGCGCAACAAAGACGACGGCTCGGCGTTCCCGCTTTGTCGCTGTCGTTTTTTTTTTTTTTGGCTTTTGTTTTTTTCCTTTGAACAGTTTTCGTTTGCAGAACAGTTAGGTGCAGAAAAAGTTTCTTTGGTGTCGATTTGTCAATAAATAGAAAACGTCTTTAGTGTCCGTTTTGAGTGATCCAAGCGTAACCCGGGAGAGAACTGCTTACCGGCTCTGTCCATCGGTTCAATAATAAATGAGGACGAGGGAATTTGAGATGTGTGTATGAAAGAGCTAGTATGTGGATTTGGTTTTTCCATTGGAAAGTGAGCTAAAACTATGAGGGAAGGAGTCATGCACACTTTGGGAAAGCTAAACTGGTAGGCATTGGTGTGGAGATTGTCCTCTTAAACTCTTGTAAAGGCCCTGATCACCAATGCCAGTTCACTTGTGTTTGGTTTCTTAGCTTAATACAGTTAGAGTCATGACAACATACAGCGATGCATGTGTGTGTGTTTTGCAATGCAATTCATTGAGTGTGTTGAGCTCGTGAGATGCTTGTTCTTCGGTCGTATCATCCTGAGTTGTTTTTTTAACCATAGAAGAACAATCGGTGTGGTCCAGCCCCTGTTCTATTGCAAATTTAATGTGCTTCAGGATTGTGCTCACAAACCCGGCCGGCCAATAACGGTGTGAGAGATCTGCGGTCGGCGTGTCCTTCACGTTTGTTGTGCTTTGTGTTTCTGACGGGGGTTTTTCTAACGCCAGGTTCGGTGTGTTAGAAAAACCTGCGACCCAATGCCATCTTAAACCTGTGTGGTTATGTGATTGGTGAATCTCACAAAGAAGAACATGCAAGTCATATTTCACTCCAAAATGCATTACCATAATGCAAAAAAAATAAATTCTGATTACTGTAATAAAAATGACTGTATTACAGTAACAATAATAGGAGCAATAATCGACAATGGGAATTTGTGGGAATTGTTATTATTTTATTAATACTAATAAAAATTATTATTATTGTTGTTGTTGTTCTTGTTTAAAAAGCCTGTATGCCAATTACACTGCAAAAAATGTATTTTTTTGTATTCCAGTACAAATTTTTAAAAATGCTTACATCAAGATATATTTACTTGAGAAGGAAAACAAAATTTGTAATATTTTAAATAATCAATATTATTGCATATTAGTATAATACCTTTGTACATTTTATAGTTGTATTTCAAATAATTGTTTTCCCTTTGAATTCACTTTATTTTTCTGACCACGTTGGCAATGTTTTTTTAAAGCAAAACTCACTTAATTTTGATAGATTTGTCAGATAAAAACTTAATATTTTTTGTTTCTCAAGTAAATACTATTTGTACTGGAAAACAAGACAAAATACTCTATTAGCAGTGTAAAATATTGCATTAAATGTGACCTGGATGTGTTTTTGTGAGATTCATCCTTATAGCTTAAAGTATCTCCACACACACACACTCACACACACACTCTCTTCAGGAAATGAAAATCAAAGCTAATTCGAGTGAATGTAGATGTGAAATGCAGACCCTTTGGTTTTGTCTTCAGCGTTTTTCCTGGCGTTTAGCTCTTTGGATGAGCAGATCGGTGTGTTTTTGACTGCGACTCGAGCCGGTAAGCAGCTTCTCTCCTCTCGCTGCCCTTCGGAATGATTTTCTCCTCTTAAAAACTGACCGTCACCTGATCACGCTTTGGTACAAGTGCTGGAGGTGGACGACATGTTGCCCGGACTCCCCTCGTCCAGCCATTTGTCCAGGCTGCGTCTGCGGGCGTTCATGAAGAAGTTGCTGACAGTGTTCAGTTCCAGACCCAGCTGCTGCGAGATGGTCAGCTGCATCTCTTTGGACGGACGCTTGTTCTCCTTAAAGATGGCCAGAAGTGTTCGCCGCTGCAGGTCTGTGAAAACCAGCCGCGATTTCTTTGGTGTATTGCTCCTGTCTTTGCTCGGGTCTTGCTCTTTTCTTTTGCACGCTTCGGGGGTTTCGTTTGTTAGAAAGGAGACACAAAAGACAGAGAAGAAACACGTCAGAGTCAATCACACTTATATTCATGCATTTAGCAAACACTTAAACAGTTAATGCAGGGTTCGAACCTACAACCTTTGGATTATCAGATTAGAATGACATAAAAGAGAAAATACCAAAAAAGTGACAGAAAGGACAATTAGACCGTGTTATTTATGATTAGCACCATCAGTGTTATTTAGGGTTGCAAAGGGGTGGAAAACTTCCAAACATCCCCTGGAATATTCAAAAAAATCCTGGAACGTTTCCAAAATTTCTGGAATGTTTACGAAATTTACTGGAAATGTTCCACCTTTTTGCAACCCTAGTGTTATTATAGTATTTATTAACATTTTGAAATAGCATTTATTTTGTACATTTTAAGTTTTAGTATTTTTTTAATGTGCTTTTGTTGTTTTTCTTTTATTTTTTTATTTCTATTTAGCTTTAATTTACTTTTATTTTAGTTTTTGTTCTAGTAATTTTGTTATGTGCTTTTGTCATTTTTGTTTTTAAAAGTTATTTTATTTCACTTTTAGGCTTAGTAATTGTGATATGTGCTTATGTAACTTTTGTTTATTTTTTTATTTATTTCTAGCTTAAATTTAATTTGATCCGTTTTAGTAACTATGTGCAAAAATGTGTCATTTTTGTTAGTTTTTATTTCTATTTTATTTCTATTTTTTAGTTTTATTTCTATTAAACTTTAATTAATTTTTATCTCAGTTTTAATAATTTTGTTATTTGCTTTTGTCATTTTTATTAGTTTTTTATATTTCTATTTAGCTTTAATTTTTTTATTTTAGTATTAATTTCGATATGTGCATTTGTCATTTTTATTAGTTTTAATTGAGTTTTTATTTCAGTTTTAGTAATTTTGTTGTGTTTGTCATTTTTATATATTTTTAAATATTTATACTTCGCTTTTGTTTAGTTTTCAGTATTAGTAATTGTATGTGCATTTGTCAATTATTTCTAGCTTTAATTTACTTTTATTTCAGTTTGTGTTTTAGCAATGTTTGTTTTTAAACTTATTTTATATCAGAGAGTTGCCAAAATATTTCAAATGTTTTTTTTTTTCATAGTTTCAGTTTAGTGTTTAGTAAAGTATAACGACACTGCATTAGAGCAAACCTCCTGAGATGTGTTTTAGCAGATTCTCATTCAGAAATCAGGACTCAAACAGCGTAACATCTGCTCTGTGATCAGTGCGTCTCACAGGAAAGCTGTAGATGATTTGAGGAAGCTAAAGATCCTCTCCAGGTAATTGCTTCTGCGACCACCACGGATCCCAGAGTAATTCACTCCTGTTCACCTGGAGCTGCTGGCTTTATTTTTAGGGTCTTTTATCACGATAGACTCCAGAGACCAAAAACACATGATCACCTGAAAATGACCAGATAACCCAGAGCGAGAAGAACCAGTCTGATCTACACCGACAGCATCAACAAATCAACAACAAACACCACAGATACACAGAGAGAGAGGCGCGAGGGATTACATACAGTATACACTAGCACTCTTTCTGCAGAATGTAAAAACTGTACACAGTGTGCTTTAATAGATACGAATGACCGGCAACATTTGGCAAAATGTACAGTATACAAAGCATATCCCACAATGCAATCCATTTAATTTTATCTTGCATTTCTAATTCCTTGAATCCTGTACTTATTCCTTCAGGATATATTTGAACTAAATTCTAATGCAGTTGCTTTATATTTTTCATTATGAAACAAAATTGCTCTCAAGATATGAGAATAAACATGCATTATTCTGTTATTTATCTGTTAATCTGCAGTTATTGTGTGTTTGGGCCCAATTTTAATGTCTGACAAGTGGAAATGATTGCACCAATTAAAACAATTTAAATAAAATATGAAATAAAATGATAAATTAATCATATCTAATTAGACAGTTAAATATTTTAACACAAAACTGAATTAAAATGCAAGTCAATAAAATAAAATAAATTGATGCATTAAAAATTATGCATTAAAAACAACAAATTAACCAGAGATCTTTTCCTTGACACTTGTTGAATTAGACAGTTAAATGTTCATTTTTTTTACACAAAGCACACAAAGCTGAATTAAAATGCAATGCAATAAAATAAAAATGATGCATTAAAAATCATGAATTAAAATGACAAATTAAGTTATTTTTTGACACCGTATTTAATTAGACAACTAAAACTTGTTTTTTTGTTTTTTTTTACATAAAACTGAATTAAAATGCAAAACAAATGATCTTAAATATAATGGATTTCTGCGATAATAAATGCATACCACTCATGTCATCACCTCTTATTGCATACTGTTTCACATGCTGTTTCTATAAATAATAGGCAGTATATAGTGCACAATAATAGTAAGTGCTCTGCTAGTATTTCATTTCAGACACAGACTCAATGGTAAATACACAAACCGTCCAGCAATTAAAACAGGACTTATGTGTAGCATCTGGCTCTATAATTTGTGCTGCTTTATAATTTTGCAAAGCACTTCATATACAATATAGCTAAAGAAGTCAATCAATTTAAAACAGCTTTGCTTACAGTATATCTGTAGGATACAGTTCATCACGGCCTCGGGCAGAATTTCTTATTAATGTGTATGAAAGTGTTTCTACAGTTTTAATGATTGTGGATTTTGCTGACCTGTGTGTGAGCTTGTTGCTGATCTCGGTAAACGCCGCTAAAGCTGAAGCACTTCACATAGATTTCATGCAAAACAAATCCAGAAGACTAGAAAACTATGATGAAAAACTATAAATATAACAGCAGACTGTCCAACTCACAACTCAGGTGTGTCTACAAATCATTCACCTTTAAAAAGACAAATATTTTTATCTTACAGTCCAACAAAAGTATTTATCATCACATCTGAATTAATTCAATACACCTCTAAAAATAGGTAAACCAACAGTAAGTAAACGAACATATAATCTAATGGGACATTTCATGCTATTTTACAGTAAAATACTTTTATAATTTACAGTGAAAAATCTGAAACTTCCTGTGTGATCTTTTTTTCATAATTACGTTTCTTTTTAGTTATTTATAATCATCTATGTACATTAGAGTTTTATGTTACATCTTGTGTTGTTAAATGTTTATTGCATTATTTTAGGGTTGTGTGTGTTACCATGATGGTGTTTTGTGCACCTTCTATATATTAATACGTTCATAAACTTGTCTTTTTCTCTCTTTTTTTATATATTCATTTATTTATTTATTTTGGTGGTTGTCAGTATATTATACAAGGTACTAAACAGACTTTACTTAACGTAAAATCTGTACTTAATTTTAGTATTTTAATTTACATTTTTTAAATAATTTTTGTTATTTAAAAATTATTTCAATCCATAAAATAAAAAAATATTTATAAATATAAATTTTTTTGTTAAAATATTTTAAATAAATACATTTTTTAAATATATATTTTTAAATGCATTTCTTTAAAAAATATTTAAAAACATTTTTTTATAAATGTAACATCTATTAAATTATTTTTTTAATTTCTATTTCATCCAAAGATGAATGAAAATCCTGAATGCTCGACTATAATCACATCACTTCTGCCACAAATCTGCACTGAAGAATCACATGCAACAACTCAAAATACAAATCAACAGCATTAATAATTAACTAAAACATATTTTCATCTGCAAACAACAAACACTACTGTTTCTACCAGCACTACCTGTGTGTGTGTGTGTGTGTGTGTGTCAAGATTTGATTTGATTACTTCTCCGAATTAAGTATGCACAACTGAGCCTGGGCCAGATCAATAGAAATCAGGTTAAGAGCTCAATTGAGTACAAAACTATTATGTAAGAGGAAACGATGGTGTAAATAAAGGCAGACACACACACCAGTGTGGTTTTACACAGTGTGTGTGTGTGTGTGTTTTCATTTCTGCTGCATTCACACCCTCATTACCAGACGTGCTTTCTCTTTCACACACACACAAACACACACACACACACACACACGCAGTGCAGACCCATTTGTCATAAAATGAAGGCGGCAGCAGGCCAAGTGTAAAGAGTGTGAGAAAGCGCAGGTCTTGCACTCAGGCAGAAGAAGTTGCTGAGCTCTGCAATCAGACGTCCAAGAGACTCGCGTGTGTAAAAACGACAAAGCCCTCGCCGGCCCCTATCACAACGCGCTTAAACTAAATATTTGATAAAGACCAAATGCACAGCAGTTTTCCACACTTTGCATGTATAATTGATGCAGAAACGCAGAAGTGAGTGTTTAGGGATCTGAAACTCAGACAGACATTCAGCGCTTTATCCTCAACTTCCATTAACCCATTAATGCCCACATTATTTGCAATGATTTGCACGAGCTTTCATAGTTCATCCTATATATACTGATGGACTAAACTTCTCATTATCTATATTTTTACATAAAAATTCCCTAAAAAAAAAAAAGTACACGCACCCACAACCACACATATGTGTGTACAAAATTTTTAGGGAATTTTTTATGTAAAAATATAGATAATGAGTAGTTTAGTCCATCAGTCATCCCAGCTTGGAACAATATGTTCTAAGAACATTTCGCCAATATTCTTATTAAGTTATGAAAACATAGTTCTTTCTATGAACAGCTGTGTTTTAAAATGTTGTTTGGAAACATTAAGGGAACGTTCCATTTGATCATTTTGCAAACATTACAGAAACGTTACTTTTGGCTCAACGTTTGCATAACCAAGAAAAAATAAATGTTTAAACATTCAAAAAAAATTGACATTTTGCACATTCACAAATAACGTTTTCTTAACAATGCTTACATTAACAAAACGTTCTTAAAACACATGTAATCATTTTCTCAAAATGTTAGCACAGACATTTGTTTTTCTGAAACGTTTTAGTTAGATGTTCAACTAACATTTTTAAATGTAATTGAATTCATTAATCGCATAATGTTTGCAAATGGAATTTTCGCCTAAATGTTTGCGTTATCAAAAA